GTCTAACTGGGTGATCACGTGATTCACGAAGGGAAGGAAAAGTGAAAGTTTAAAATAGTCCTCCGCGTCGGTAGCCGGACTGTTCTGGCGGACGCGCTGCCGGCTCGTGATTCGCAGCATTCGAATCTCCACATTTGCTGCCTCGGCCATGCTTACGGTGGCTTGGACTACCGCGGAAAAGCAGGATTGACGTAGCTCTTGCACAGCGGCCTCGACGTTATCGACATGACTGATGGCGCCGCTTACGTCGAGCGTGGTTGTTTGGAGCTGCCTGGAGAGCGACAACGTCAACGAAAAGCACCTCCGCGATGATGTTATTGCTGACAATAAACGTTGGCGTCACAATACATGCCAGTAATTGATGGGCATTTGCAGACGCCTCGTCACCACCAGCGTTATGCTGCAGAATCTCAAGTGACAACACAACAGCTTCGTAGAGCTTGACAAATGTTTGAACGGCCTCGTGGCGTTAAACTCAACGGGTTTTACACAGCGCTAAAAGTCGCCGCTTCGTCGTTTCAGGGTGCAGCTCCCTCATATTTTCCTTGAGCATTGCTGACCTACGAGCAGATCTTCTAAATAACACACAGACTTCCTGCACCACACTCAACGCGTTACGCATCTTGACGACACTGCACGAACACCAAAGCGCCACGTTGAGCGAGTGATTTGCGCAGTGCATATGGAGAGCTCCGCGGGGTGCTCCCGTTGGATCACAGTGGACCCCGTTAGGCGGCCGGACATTTTGGCCACACCATCATATCCTCGGCCGCACAAATAGGTGGCGTCGAAACCTTTGTCCCTAAGAAACGCCATAAGGGTCGAAGAGAGTTTTTGTCCAGGCAGATTTGTCACCTCTACGAATGCCAGGAAGTCTTTTTGTAGCTTGTCGTCCAGCAGGTACCGCACACAGACAGACATCTGCTCGGTTCCAGAAAAGCGTACCCCATCGTCAATTTTACAAGATTTACAACAGACTTACGCTTTCTTTCAATGTTTACACTGAAATGCATATAATGACTCTAGTAGCTACCGAGCATTCTGTACAGCAAGCCCCTGCCACCCAGCTGGTAGAATTGCGTCATCTTATAGCTATCTCGAGAAAACGATCGGCGCGCCGTCGACGAAGACAACGAAAAAGATCGTGCACCGAGGAGCTAACGTAGCCTTCGGTGCGCTGACCGTAAAGTAAAAACAAAACCCGCTGCATGCGGATTTCACTCTCTTCCGCCTCCTTCTGCAACCACGTGAGGAAAAAATGTGTTGTCTTCCACCGGGGTAGCGACGAAGAGCTTCACCGTGGCGGCGGCGACGAAGGCGCCGCGAGAATAGGAGCTGCGGGCGTCTCGCAAATCTCGTGCTCGAAACGCGTTGGGCGCGGAAGACTACGCGGCCAACGCGTTTCGACCGGGCAAGCACGACGACTGCCGGGGCTGTGCTGTGACCAGCGCGTCAAAATGCTTTCGACGGCGTCGCCCCTTCGGACCTCAGAAGACTCATTGGGAGGAGATTGCGGACCATTGCACGGGTCCCGGTGAATATTGGACTTCGTGAACTTGCTTTCGTAGCGAGTCTCAAAGGCGTTTTGTTAATCTCTCTCGTTTGTATTCACGTTGTAGGTTCTTAATTTATTCCCTTGTGTTGTCGATTTTCGTAACATGGCCAGAAGTTTAGTTACTTTGCCCTGCATTTGACTTTGCCTTGTATTCGGGGCTCTTTCTCGTTCTCTACGCCGGTGGAAGCTGAGCATTGAATGCCCACCGACTCGTCACTGGTAACCGGCAAAGGATACGTTCCTCGGCGGAATATGGCGGTTGTAACAGTGTCCACTGTTGGGTATCGGACCGTACGCCTAGAGGGAAGACATGCCGTTTCATCGCTTTTGGACTTAGTTTACAGCGAAGCAAGCAAAAAACCCGGGAATATTTGAAAGCTTTTTTTTTTTTGTATTTTTCGTCGTCGCCCTTACCTACTACGTACCCTCCTGCACTGACCGTTGGCTACTTTTTTACTTAAAAATTATAAGTGCTATATCTTGCGTGACTCGTGCTGCACCAAACTTTCCTGATGGCTTTCGCTAGAGCAATTTCAGTCGGTAGTTCTACATTGTTTAAGAGATGCGTGCCGGAGAGCTCTTTAGTTGGAAATGAAGTACAAACAATATTATTAAGATTTCTTAACCAAAATGTCTGTTGTTTTGTCCGCAAGCAAAGAGAAGCACTTCGCACTTTTTACTCGACTTACGATAGTCTGCTGAACCAGCGTGCTGCTCGCCAGCGAGATATCGTTTTGTATTTGTGGGCTCAGGTACGCCGTGTTTCCTGGTGCTGTCTCCAGGTGATCTCTGGGGCGGTCGTCCCCGCTGCGAATTTTCAAGCACACCAATGAAAGAGAGTTGCCGTAATTTTCGAGAGGGTTCTCCAGAGCGAGCGGTCCGGCGTCACGGTGTCCTCTTATCGCTATGCCTTGCCTCCCGCAAAATAATACTTTTATAATTGGCATTAGCTTCTTCTGGTTGGTGTGCCTCTGCACGCCGTGCAGAAAATTTCATATTTCTTCTGACTGACTCTCCTTCCACGGCTTGTATTAATTTGTCGGCGTCGAGATCGGCCGTCTTGTTGTGTTTGGACTCGCTGTATGCTTTGAAGGTCTCTAATGCACTCGTTCAACTCACAAAGGAAGTGAGCACCGAGCCGCCGAGTTTCTCGTGGCTCCCTTTTCCCGAACATTCCTGCCCAAAGAGGACACAAACCTTGGCACCTCGAGTATACCAACCAGGGGTACTCTTCTGTCCATTGAGTCTGGAATTTCGGCTTGAGTTTTCCCAGTGTAGGGAAACAATACTTCCTGCCAGGCTTCCAGGGGTTCATGAGCAATCAGCGCCTTTTCTCGTCGTCCTTGATCTTCTGACGTTTTGGACCGGTCAGGACGCACAGTCCAATGTCATTATTGGAAACATTGCGTGCCTCGCCCACGACGTCATCGCAAAAGGTGGATTTAGGACACGCTGCTTTGTGGGTCATTATTTCTGCTGTGGACGTAGGAGCATCGAGAGTAGCAGAACCACTTTCTCTTCTGAAAAAATGGTCCAGCATTACCTTTGGCCGCTTCGCTGAAGCCATCCTTGAAGAACCTTGCGTCAGCACAGAGTGGTTTAGAATCTCTACCGAAGCTGCGATGAGCGGTGCGTCCGTTGGATCTAAAAAGCCTGGAGCCCTCTCCAGATGCCTCTCCAGCGGCTCCGGACAGGAAAGGAGGAGCGACAGCGGGAGAAACAAAGCCATACCCAAAAATCCGAAGATCCAAAGACAGAGTCTGATTGGCCGAAGCATTAGCGCGAAAGTTAGCACGCCGAAGAGCAGCGTACCTTTCCGCGCAGTAACGCACGCACGGGCGCGGGATCTGCTCCGGCGGAGCTTCCCCCATGGCCCGCGCACATGCACTCACAGACACGCGCCTCTAGTTTGCTTGCCGACGGCGATCGGAGTTCCTTTCGCTGTACACCACCTAGCGAAATCAATTCTTTTTTATGTGGTTCGTGGATATTGCAGTGTATATAGTCTAATAAGAAGGGTGATGATTGACAAGTACAGCCACGAGTAACAAAGAAAATGAGGACTGGAGGGGAGGGTAATATTTTTTTGCGCGACGCAAAAAGAGAGCCGAAAGGAAAAGAGCTGTCGCGAAATTGGGCCAGGAGCGGTAATTCAACCCGCAAGCTCTCTCAGTCCGGTGCAATGCCTTAACGGCTAAGGCGCAGTATGGACCGACAAAGGTTGTGAATTCCTGGCGCATTTTTTCGCAAACTGTTCCCCTTTTGCCCTTAATAAAAAAGAAATGGAAAAGTCACCCTCTCCACCTTTCATTTTATATTGCGGGACTCGCAAGCCGTGGCTTCACTCTACGGTCAAGACCTGAAAAGCGGTCCCCGCTTGCAACGTCGTCAAATTAATCTACGTTAGTAGAAGAAATCGTCTTTCAAAGCATATCCAGGGTGTCGCAGCTATCTCAAAGTAAGCTAAAGAAAACGGAATGCTCTTGGCGAATGAAGCTAACTGTTCGCTTTGAGCACTCGTCTTGACGCGGAGACAAAAAGACAGTGTCGGGGGGTCAGTATCTTGGAGCGGGAGGAGGAAGCTGTAACCCCCCCCCCCCCCCCCCCCCCGCCCTCCGAAATAAGATCCTGGCTACGCCACTGATTATATGAGTCCTAAGCAGATAAATGTGCAGCAGACGGGTACTGAAGATCACGCTCGGAACAAATCATTTCGTGACGAGGATTCAACATCGTTCATAGACAGGCGCCGAAAAACACAAGGACAAGAACAGACGTAAACACTGGCGCTTACTGTGTTTACGTCCTTTCCTGTCCTTGTGTTTTTCGGTGCCTGTCTACGATCATGTACCAACGTGCCCAAATCGCCACATTAATGCAGGAATTAACAACAGCATCTCCCTTGGCGCTTACAATTCGCTTAATTTTAGTATGTTATGGCTTTGTACGTTCTACAGGAAGACACCCTGTTCAATCCCTGTGTTTAAAGCGAAAGGTTTAAAATTTTAAAGAGAAGTATGTCTGGCGTATTCCAAAATGCTCTTTTATGGAAAAAAACAGAGAGCATTCCAGGCCGGATGGTCTGCTAAGCAGATCACACCTTGCCCTATGTTTTTCTCTAACTCTTCCTTTCCAGACACTTCAATTAGCTTAGCCTTCGTGTAAGACATAATGTATTTTTCCTGATTAAAATATGTATATAACAAATTGTGCCACTTCTTTTTGTATTATTTATCTAATATAACTTAGATTACGCTCATAACAGGCTCGCATATATAAACATTTAAAATAAAATCGGAACAAAACCTAATTTTTTAAAGATATGGCAGAGAAACGCATCAAATAAATGAGTAAGAAATCAGCTGCGTTGTATACTGCATAAGGCGTAAGTCCACGGCAGTCCATTCGCCGTCTATTTTTTTACATTCCTTATGACTTATCTTACCGTCGCATTGACAGCTGCCAAATTTTCAAGCTCACAGGGATCCCGTTGAATGTCGAAGTAGTAGGGGGAACTGTTGGCGACGAAATTGCTTCCCGGGTTGTACTGAGAGCAGTTCACCACTACCTCTTGACGCCAATTAGGCCTAATTGACAGTTTCTCAACCTTGTAGAAGTCCCTGAGCACTGTTCCGGTGCGAGACTTCAGCATCATTTCGTCCAGGCCTTCAACGGGTCGTGTGCCTCCTGGAACTTCGCTGCGATGATATCTTAATTCGTCAGGGAAGGTGGAGGTGAGAAACACCTTACGATTTCCCACGATTAACGCCGAGGAATTAGCGGCCGAGTCAATGTTGAGAAGGATCTCATGGCGCGGAGAAGGCAGGTCCTCACAAAGCGCTTCCCACATGTCTATTCCGTCAATGACACCTAGCCTTGACACATCTCCTCCTGAAAGGATGAAAATATCAAAGATATTAGAGGTTCCTTAAAGGAACGCTAGCGTGAGGATAACTTTAAAGACGTTTATTGTCATGACCTTGCTGCTGAACACTTTTCTTCCAAGTAAAGTTGTTTACAGAGCTGCGTTTTTGCAAGTGCGACTTGGATAGCGCAGCATATAATTTTTGAAGTTAGCAACAGCACATGCACTTAAAACATTTCCCGTGGCAATGCACGGATTGTGAAATATTCCGAAATGATCCAATTTGATTTCTCTATTGCTATTATTTAAACTTCATGTCCTTTGAACTGGAATTGTATGAAGTAAAGGAAAATGCTTCGCAAAAAAGACATTCTTACTACACAAAAGATTCGTGAAATGTCAAGCTAAAATAAAATTATGAAGCTTGATGATTTTCCTTTTTTTACAACTGTTTTTGGCAACTGACGCCTCTTCGCAAACTTTGTGGCCATTCATTTTGCGTTCCGGTTATTTCATTTGTTTGTAAATTTTAATGTTATCTCCTAACTCGTCTTTACTATATACAACAAATATGGCTATCGCGTTTAGGGAATTAAATAAAATGAATCAGTGAGGGAACAAAAATATGAGAACACAACTTTCTAGTAAAAGGGCCAATCTCTCATTGGCTATTACCCTTAATCGCCACGCACACTTTCAACACGAGGGGCGCCATGTTGCGAAGGTAGTTTTGTTTTTACACAGCCAATTTCGCTGGGTTTAAACCAGCCATTGATATTTAGTTTTAGCCTCCATGAAACTAATACAATGAAGTGCACGCCAAACCCTGCTACCGGGTGGGACCTAAGATAGCTGTGACAGAAAAGAAGATGGCGTCTTAAACTCAAACTTTAAAGGAAAACGTTTTCTCACAACCGAAAATCAGTAGTACAATAAAAACTACAGATATGGTAAGTAGGAAGAAATGCGCTCTGTACGGATATTTAAACGCCTAGATTTGCTTTCTATTTTTTGCGCTTTGACCCCATCCGATCTCATCCCTTGTTTGACTACTACTTCCATATTGTTTCAAGAACTCCAACAAAAAACTCGCCGAAGATACTTAAAACTGCTTACGTGTAGGAATGCGCAAGCATTCCTTCACGCAGCGCATTCCCACAAGCAGCGAGGCACGTCTTGCTTTCGCTCCAACGGTGACACCAGGCTCCCCACTGCGCAGACACGGAGAAGCTTGCCGGCTTACGTGACGAAGCATCTGCGTTGTTCTGCTTTTCTTTGTGTTTTATTTCTCAGGCAAATGCTTGATCACGTACATTTATGGCAATCTTTCGGGGACAACGCCGACGTTTCTTCGCGTAATGAGAGAGGCTTTCGTCGAAAATCAAACTTACCGGCTGCAGAATACAGAGTGGGCAACCAGTCGGTAATGTGCATCATCTGGCTCGAGATGCGACCTGACCTCCGCAACAGAGGGCTCCAGATAAAAGCGGCTCCCCGCACGCCTCCTTCCCACAAGGTAGCCTTGAAGCCCCTCAGAGGCCAGTTGAAACCGTAGTTGGATCCAAGACCCGTGGGAAGGCCTCCGTTGTCGGTGCTGAAGATGACGATGCTGTTTTCCAGCATATTCCTTTTGTGGAGTGCCTCAATAACCAGACCGATTGATTGGTCCATCTCGTAGACAGCCCCTTCAAAGAACCACCTCTTTAATTCTTGCTGCATATCATGAACTAAACGAGATTTTGGCAAAGTTGAGTTAATATCACGGTGTAAGATACGTGTATATAGGTGTGGACACGCAACATGGCGAACACCGCGATGCGATCGACCAGATAAAGTCTTATAATAATACTAATAATAATCTTTATTTGAACTCCTTGAGTCTCAGGTGGAGAGCAAAAATTAAACAGATTTACCTGACGAGGCCCCACCACCCTGTACATTGCTCAGCAAAGAATCAAAACAGACTAGAAATGAACACAAGAAAATACGACAGTATATCTTATCAAACAATGTGTCACTGTGCGAAACGAAAAACGAAACAATTCTTCTACAGAATAATGAATTATTGAAGTCAAACTGGCAGGAGCAATGAGCTTTCAAGCGAATTAACACAAATAACGATGATCAGAGCTGATTATACGCTATTCAACCCAATGCATAACCAAAACGCAATTTCCTTTTGTAAAATATAACGTTTCATGTTACCTTTGAAGGCAAGAAGGGAAGTAGCATTCCTCATTAATTCAAAAACACTTGGATGATCGTTCAAAAGCTGTGGTATTTTATACGCTAGAACTTGGGAGCCATAATTCGTCCGTATTTTGGGCTTTGTGTATATTTCATTTCTTAAATTATATTGTGTTGTTTTAGGGTGGTAGATGTCACAATATTCATTTTGGACACTGCTATACTATATATAATTATCATCGCTAGTTTTAAAAGAAAGAGCTGATGGATATTTAAAATTCGGTATTTGACAAAATATGGGGCCGAATGATCGGTATAGTGAAGGTTTTCGATGCAACGAACAGCGTTTTTTTGTAGGCCGAATAGTCTGTCTAGATTTGTTTTTGTTGTAGTTCCCCAAACTAGTAAGCAATAATGTAAATGAGATTGCACAAGACTGTAGTAGAGTTGGCACTTAAGCCAACAGGGAAGGAGATGTTTAAGTTTATAAAAGATTCCAATAGATCTGGATATGCTAGAGCGAATATGATTGATGTGATCTGTCCAGCTTAAGGTTTCTTCGAACCAGACACCTAAACATCTTAAGGAGGACACTCTTTCTAATTCTGAGTTTCTAAATTGTACCGAGAAGTTACTACAGAGTTGCTTATGCACAAGCTTGAAGATAACATATTTTGTTGTGTTAATATTCAATTCTATTTGACTAGACTCTAGCCACAGCGCAAGTTCGCGTAACCAAATGTTTGATAAACCTTCTATTACACTAAGATCCTTATCAGTAAAAAAACACATTGGTGTCGTCTGCATAAAGTATAATATCTGGAGTTTGCGGAATGTTTACTATGTCATTTATGTACAACAAAAAAGTAATGGTCCCAGAATTGACCCCTGAGGCACACCATAATTTTTTTTCATTAGTTGCGATTCATACTCATTGATTTTTACATATTGTGATCGTCCAGATAAATAGCTATGAATTAGGTTCCAAGTGATGCCCCTTATGCCATAGTGCGTCAGCTTTTTTAGAAGAATGTCATGTTTAATCGAATAAAATGCCTCGCGAAAATCCCCAAAAAATTCCTACTGTATATAATTGAGTTTCAAAACTATTAATTAGCTTATCTTTGATATATAGCGAGGCTTTTTCCGTGGATTTGTTTTTCTGGAAGCCATACTGTTGCTTTACAATTTTGTTATTTTTTTTCAAGGTAACTAGAAAGCCTAACGTTGATTACCTGCTCTAGAAGTTTTGAGAATAAAGGTAGCACAGAAATCGGCCTATAGTTGTTTATATTATTGCGTGGGCCACCTTTATGTATAACGCAAACTCTGGCAAGTTTCATTTTTTCCGGAAATATACCAGTCAATAACGATGTGTTACAGATATGTTCTAGAGGGGAGCTTATAAAGTGCCTAATTGCCTTAATCGGAGCCGCTTTTATGTCATCTGATCCGGCCGCTGTGTTATTACTTAAATTCTGGAGGAGTCTCGTTATCTCTGCCTCCGTCACAGGGCAGAGGAAAACTGAATTTGCATTTGCAGCTGGCGACATATAAGGCTCAAAGCTATTACTTGATACGGATGTCGTGGGGCAGGCGCTGCAACTTAAGAAGTGAAACTTGTTAGCAAGGAAGGAATTCGAATATGAGATACCATCAATTACCAGTTCATTTGGAAGTATGTTGTGGGACTGGGAAGTAAGACACCTCACAGTGTTCCATACTTTTTTAGGATCATTATAAACGGACGCGAATTTATCGCCGTAATACTGCTTGCGTGCTTTCCTAATGTCTGCGTTTAGCTTATTCCTTATCTTTTTATATTCGCGTAACACCGACTCATCTCTTGTTTTGATAAAAGTATCATAGAGTTCATCTCGCCGTTTTATTCTTCTCTACATATCATGAGTGATCCATGGTTTTCTTATTTTTTTCTGTTTTCTAACATTTCGCAAGGGAAACGCTTCGTCATAATATTCTTTAATCCTAGTTATGAAAATGTCGTAGCATATACTTGGATCGGTTTCACTGTATAAGTCATCCCAATTAATCTTTGACAGAAGGTTATAGAACTTAGTTATATTGGCAGCATTGATACTCCTACAAGTTGTGACAGCTACGGAGTGCTTTTTGTCTATTCGTTTTCGTTAAAGAGGAAGGATGCAAAATATAGGTAAGTGATTACTGACTGGACAGGAAAAGATTCCAGAGATTGTTTCACTCGGAAGGTCACTTGTGATACATAAATCGATTATGGTTGCACTATCCCGAGTTATTCTTGTTGGCGCAGTAATTACGTTACTGCACCCGAACGATTCAATAGTATCAAGGAACTGTCGGCAGAGCGGATGCGAGCCCGACAGATCAATATTAAAGTCCCCTATTAGTATAATTCTTAAATTCAGTGAGGTAATATGCTCGAAAAGTTTAACTACGTAATTCATAAATTCGAATATCGCCCCAGAAGGTGGACGATATAGAGCAGCCACTACGGATCCTTCACGTATGGCAACAATCGATTCGTAGTCCCTAGTTACATGCGAGTATACCCTATGCTTTTACGAAAATACAGTGAAACGCCCCCTCCTTTTTTATTAGATCTGAATACGCCTTCGCTCTTATAGCCCCCAAACTAACCTGATCACATGTATTAGAGACCCAAGTTTCCGTGAAATCCAAGACGTCGAAACTGTAACTCAGAGAGTTAAAAAACATAGCAACATCATCATGTTTATTTACAATACTCCTAGCATTCAAATGACAAATAGAAAAATGTCTTTTAAGAAACGATACGTTATCTTGCAGAAGCTGTTTAAATGTATCCTGGCTGCAGTAAAGGGGCATGAATGTTATGTCAGCCATTTTACATTATTTTGCCGAGATCATCCTCGGATTCAATCTTAATAACGCGCTGGCCTTCCGCCTTTCGTACAAACACCGTTCTGTTTTCCTGCCATATAAACGCGTACCCTTGTTCACAAGCCTTTGTCTTCGTCATCCAGAGCAGCTTTTTGTTGGAGGCAGTCAAATTACGAAAGAAGCGGACATTCAGACCGCTATTTCTTAAGCCGCCCCGTTTCGTCAGCCACTGACCACGCGTCACCCGCGACAAAAAGCGTACCAGGATTACCGGAATCTATTCTTGATATAGTGGCGCACGCTCCAGTAGCCTCTTTTGTCAGCGTCTCCGCAGGGCAGATGACGAAACTGATCAGAAATAAACCAACTAGTAGACATATGTGCGCTTTTGTCATTGTAAATTCACGCTTGGGCTTTCTGCTCGGCATGGGCTCTGATTTCGACGGACACTGGCTTGGACTTCGCTTCAACGCATTCATAATGATGTTCTTGGTGACGTTGAGGCGCAAAACTGAGGTCAATGACGATGCTGTGTGTAACAAATAGCTCATGTGCCAAAATCAACATGACACAACAAACCCAGGGAACGACTTTCAAAACTAGCATATCTCCCACGAAGAATCACAAAAAACAAGGTCCGCGACAGGCTACCTCTATCCGCTTATCCAAGAGCCGTATGGTGGTATCACTGGCAACCAGGCGAGGACAGGGCCTTCTCTGGCATGTGCGACGCGCGCGTTGTCCACAACTATATATCTTATGAAGTGGTTACTACCGAACAAAAGTACTTCGTTCCGACAAAACGAGAAATGAGAAGAAAACCTATTTAAACCAATGCGGAGTCCGTAGCCATATAAGGGTGTGTGCAGAGAAGGACGGTCATGGTGGTGTCATGCCTATTTTTTGTTTTCAATAAATTGTTTATCTGAGGTAGCGAAACCTGTCCACACAACGGGACAGACGTCACTTTTGCAAGACGCTTATTTGTATACGTAAAGAAATTGTATTAGAGACGAGGTTGAGAAAAACGATTTTCCCAACTAAGCGATGACGCAAATTTGAAGGCCGTTGGAATAAAGAATGAAGCTTTGTACATTATCGAAATATTTATGCTTAATGCGCGCATACCGCCCTGCCAGAACTAGTTAAAGTTAACTTATATGAGCATATATTTCAAGCGAAATAATATGAGACTGGGCTTCTAGACCAAAACTTGTATAATGAGACCATTTTTCGGCAAAGTTTTAAGTGCCTTTACATTTATATAATAAAGCTGAAACTTTTTGTGTAGAGCGTTTTATGCTTTGTGAACGTTCGGAAAATTAAATACTGTTATACTGTTGAAAATGGTTCCTGCACTGCACCCAGAAATTTCGTCAAAATCGAAAAAGTCAAAGTTTTGCGATACTTGTGTGGCAATTAAAAAACAACATCATACTCCATCTTTTTTTTTTAATTTTACCCGATGGGCCCTTGATGAGTGGTAATTACAAATCTTCAGAGACATGCTACTGTATTTTGTTAAAAATAAATGTGCAACTAGGTCGTGGTCGCATTAGTTACCGCAGGGGCGTTCCTGTCCTGACGACTAGAGGTACAGGATCGACGCCTGCCACAGTATCCGTCGTTTATCATATTT